AGAACCGGTGGAGCAAATGATAGCTACCTCTATTTTGGCCACATGAAGCGAGTAGAAAGTGGAGAGTGCACTTTACCATGGTGGAGAGAGAGTCCTTCCAACTTGTCCCTCACTCCTCCCCGCAGGTCGGCTCTCAAGGTCAGGAGCAAGGTCACCAGTGTCCCACTGCAGATGTTCGGAATGAGGCTCAGGACTTTTTTTTTTTGAGGGTCAGTCATGGGGCTTGAACTCAGGGCCTGGGCACTGTTTTGCTCAAGGCTAGTGCTCCACCACTTTGAGCCACAGTGCCACTTCTGGCTTTTTCTACTAGTTCTACTGGAGATCAGAGTCTCAGGATTTTTCTGCCCTGGTCTGGCTTCCAGTCAGGTTCCTCAGATCTCAGCCTCCTGATCAGCTAGGATTACAGAACAGCTGTGAGCCACCAGTGCCTGGTGAGCACAAGGACTTTTCTATTTACACTACCGCACAACTTACCTTTCTGTAATGCTTCTTAAAAGATTCTGTCCACAGGATTCTAGGGCTGGGGGCTGCCTCCTGTATTCTCCAGGCATGGGGCTGGGACCCTTTTGGGAGAAACTGGGAAAAGACTTGCATGCAACAGAGGCTCTGCTGACTCGTGCTCAGTGAGGTTCTTGAGTGACAGCATCAGGATCCAAGGAACAAGAACTGAGAGAGACGGGGGGGGGGGGGGTGCGGGCTCACCCAGAGAGGCCCAAGACCTGCAGTGCCTAGCACCGTGTTCAAGGCCAGTCCATTAAGTGGGGGCAACCCACAGCTGTGCTGTTCTCTGGAGTTCCCCAAGACCTCTGGCCTCAGGTGTGGGCCTGGGTGACAACAGTTCACTTACTGCCAGTGCCCTTGTTCCTGGCATAGAAGTAGCTAGCATTCTCCAAGATTGAAGTTCCTTTGCTCTTAATGACCCAAAGATCTCTACTTGGAGTTGGGTCAGAAGCCCTGGGAACGAAGGCATGAACAGGGTCCAAACCTACCCAGCTTTATAGCTTTGTGTTTAGACAGTGATAACAGCCTTTGGGTCAGCGGGCAAGAATCCTGCCTCCGGGAACTACTGGTAAATGAGTAGAAACACACTGGAGGGGCTGGGAAGGTGGCTCAGTGGTAGAGCACTTGCCTTGAGCTGAAGAGCTGAGGGACAGTGCCCAAGCCCCACGACCGGACCTCAAAAAAAAAAAAAAAAAAAAAGAAGAAAAGAAACACACTGGAGGGGCTTTCTGAGCAGCCCAAGATATGAAGTTACTAGTACTTGGAGATTAAGATTGAGAGGCCAGCCAAGGCAGAGGTGCTGTATCTCTGTGGAGGGAGGTCTGATGGCCCACACATGTTATTCCAGCAGCTTTGCTTAACTAAGCTGAAAGTAGGTCAACTGGGTGGGAAGTGAGACCCTATCCCGAAATTAGCCAGTGAAAAACAGGGCTAGAGTTGTGGCTCAGCCTAGTAAGGGCAAGGTCCTGCGTTCAAACCACAGGACCACCAAAAAACAAGAAATAAGAGGCAGGGAGGGGAGCTGGAAAGGTGGCTCAGAGGTCGAGCTCTTGTCCAGCACATTGTCCATTCCTCAGTACCACATACACTGAAAGTGGCACTGTGGCTCAAGTGATAAGAGTCCTAGCCTTGAGCAAAAGAAGCTCAGGGACGGTGCCCAGACCCTGAGTTCAAGTCCCAAGACTGGCAAAAAAAAAAGCAGTTCTATAGGGTTGCTTCTTTCCAAACCAGGCTGCTATTTCTCAAGTGCTGCTTTTTGTTGATGGCTGAGTCAGGATCATAAACTAAAACAGAAAGTTGTATCCTTCAAACAGTCCCGTATACACAGCTAGGTAGATACATACCATTTACCTTGAAGGGAGGTGGGGATGCAGAAATTCTGGCTTACTGCCAAGTACAGTATAATGACAAGAAATACAGTTGCCATTTTCTTTGAAAAACTTTTATTGCGCATGAAACAGACGATTCTCCTTTGTGGTCAGATGTGATAACCCTTTTACGGTTGGTTTGTTTTTACAGTGCTGGAGATTAAACCCAGTGCCTCATGCATTCTAAGCATACATTCTACCACTGAGCTACATCTTCAGCCACTCATTCTATTTTTCTGACTCTTTTCGCTTCCTGCTGCAGTGAAAAATGTCAAGAAAGGGTTAAGAATGATCTATCATTGCTGGTCGGAATCAGCTCGGGGTGGCTCCTGGGTGGAGGCCGCAGATGTCAACTGAGCAGGTTAAGATCCCACAGGACGCTCTGGTCAGCCTGAAACTCGGCCCTCCAGGGGTGTGGAACATGACCTCCAGCTGTACTTGGACTTGCTCAGATGAACTCCCATCATCTTACCTGCGTGTGCACATACCCTCTTCCCTGCCTCCAAGGGAAGGCTTCCTTCTTGGGAACAGCATGTGTATTCCAAACGCAGAAGTCATCTCCCATAGCAAGTCCCCAGGCTATTAAAATCAACTGCAGGGTAGTGGTTACAAACTGGGAGCTTAAAAGAGACCCTGAAGTGCTAGTGCAGTCAGGGTGGAGAGCTGGGGCTGGTCTCGGGCTGGTGGTTTTCTGAGGCCCTTCCTCAGTGGCTTCCCTCCCCCTTCAATGACTGCAGGCAGCAACATCGTGGCTGGCAGGCATTGGCATGTGCTCTGGAGGACATGGTGATGTCCTCGCTGACCAGGACTGGGCAGCTACAAGAGGTGGAAGGAAGGTTTCCTGCTACACAAGGCCACTTGAGGCAGCATACTACAACTGCACCCCTTAGTCACTTTGGAACTGGATTCCTTGTTCGGGGTTAGCCACAGAGATGGACGCGAGCAATGCTGTGGGGCTGGCCGGTGGCATCTGAGAGAAAGGCAGGGTCAGGGAAAAGGCCACTCCGGCAGAGGGTCCTGTCCAAAGTCCAAGTTGACCGGCAGGCTGGGGTGAAGGGTGAAAACCCAGAACATGCTCCCCTCCCACTTGGGGAAAGAACAGAAATGGAGATGCTGCCTGCTCGGAAAACATCCATGCTATGATGGTTGCTAGCGGCACATCTGGATTTCCACCGAAGAGATGGCAGTTTTTAGACAAAGTAGATGGGTTGCTTGCTCTTTTGCGGTTAGATGGATGTTCAAGTTGAGGCACAGTGTGGTTCCTATGGGATGTCCAAGGTCGGCCTGGGACGCTGGCCTGGCCTGTTCTCAGGAACAGCCAGAGGCCCTTTCTCTACACTGGACCTTCCCTGCCAGGGGCAGCAGGGATGCCCCGGGCCTTCTGGATCAGTCTCATCCAGGTGCACTTGGCCCTGCATGTCAATGTGCTGATTCTCTTGGTAGACTTAGCACCTTGGCGCCCGGTGTTCTCAGCCAGTGGCTCCATGAACTGTACATGAAGTAAACGGTTTGGATCGTTGGGCTTATGGAGCGGGATATGACATGCATAGTACTCTGCCAACCCACTCCGTCCCTAGCACAGAGCAGGAAACTGAGGCTGTAGCTGTCCGACTGTCTGTTGGCAACCATCCTAAATCGTAGTCCCAGTGGGGGGGCAGGACATATGTCCCTGTCCTGCTGGACCTCAGGCTGGCTGGGCAAAGGTGCTCTCATCAGCTAGACTGATGGCAGAGGCCTCCCGACTTGGTCTCAGCCAGTTGGACAAGGGCTTACTCCCAAGCTTTCTGTAACCTACGTGTGGAGGGAGATGAAATCCTGGCACCGAAACTGAGGAAAAAATGGGTTCAAAGCCAAGATCCCAACAGGAAGAGACCAGAGCAGCAGCACCTTTACCTCCTGGTCAGGCCTCCCATGGCAGGGAAGTACATGAACAGTGACTATTCTGATGTAGAAGCCCAGTGCATAGCAAGAACAGGGATCTGGGTAGAGCAGGGAGGCAGACAGTTAAAGGAGAGGCCAGAAAAGCTGCAGTTAGGACAGGGAGGGTTCTGAGCTGCTCCCTGATGCCGACCAGGTCAGTAACACGCTGAAGAAGGCTAATAATAAATAGACGCACGTCACGAGCATTCAGTCAGTTTGGGGTCAGACTGCATGGGACGGGGCAGAGATCTCTCTCAATCCTATGCGCAGGTGCCAGGTGGTCAGTGTCTCTAGTAAAGGTACAAAAATGAAGTGGCTTCTTTTCAAGTATTAAAAAAATAAGTTAATTGACCAAAAGGGTCCGAAGTGGCCGAGTGTCTCGCCAGATCGTCAGCTTCGTTTCAAGGTGCAAACGCAGGAAAATGCCAAGGGCGGCCCCCTCCTGCCCCCATGGGTGCTGTGCCAGGACAGTGCCCGTTGATGGGGGTGGGGGGGACACCTCGATGTGTAAGGCCTCCCACGGCCCCCACAAAGTCAGTACTTTCCAGTGTCAAAATGGCTGTGAACTAAAGCAAAACGCAGCAATACACAGGCCTCAGGCCACAGCCAGTGAGAGGCCTGGGCATTTGGCCACTTGTGGGGGGAGGGTCGAATGTATGATGCAGGACTAGGGATAGACCCAGCCCACGTCCTCTTGACTTGCATAATGATCCAGAATGATCCAGACCCTGCCCAGCACTCAGCTTCCCCGTGAGGCTGAGGTGAGCAACACCGCTGTCCTTGCTGTCCACATCTCTCTTGTGTAGGGTGACTTGCCCTTCTTTGGTGGTGCTTCAGGGAGCATGAAGATGACCGCCTGCTCTGTGGTGCTCTGCGTGGTGGTGGAGGCGGCGGCAGCGGCTCTGAGGAGAGGGCGCTGTTTCAGGCTCTTACCACGTGTGCCAGTGGAAGGCAAAGGCTCCAGCAGTGGCAGTCAGGGACCGTGCAGGTGTGCCTCAAACCACCCTGCTCCTCCCCGTGGCGTGGGGGTCCGGTGGCCCCTTCCCAGGGGGTGGAACCGTCCCAGACAAGTCGCCATCCCCCGGGGGTTCTCCTCACTGCGCCCGCGCGCGAGGGTGTCCGGCTTCAAACGCCTGAGAGCGCCGGGCGGTTTACCAGCACACAGCAGGGTCAGGCAATGCCAAATCCACCAACTGCAAGGGCAGGCTGGGCTCAGGACCAGTCCAAGCTGAAGCCCTTGCAAAGCATGGCGGCCTCCAGATCCTTGTCCTCCTCCTTCTCCTGGAGCCGCTGCTCCTCCAACAGGGCCACGAGGGAGTCTCTCTGCTCCACCACCTCCAGCATCTCATTCAGGATCTTCTTCTCCTCCGACAGCTCTTCCTCAGTCTTCAGATGATCTGCCACGTGGCCAAAGGCATGAGTGGTGCCGCTGTGGAGCACTGCTCACCCCACCTCCTCCCCCAGGCCCTGCCCACTCACCTTCCACCGCCATGCGCTCCCTCAGCTCCTGCTGCAGTCGGCTCTGCCGGTCTTCCAGCTCCAGCTCCCGGGCACTGCGGGGAGGGGGACGGGAGGGGAACAGCGGCCGTCACGTGGGGACCAACCTCCTCCCTCTGCGAAGCCACAGGGAACCAGGCTTCCACCCGGCCCTCCCGCAGCCAGGCCCCCAGACTCACAAGACCATCAGCTCCGACTCATAGCGCACCATGGCGTTCTTCTCCTGCACCAGCTTGAACCACTCCTGCATCAGCTTGGGGTCATCCTTCTTACCCATGCCTGCGAGAGAGGGGGTGTGTCGGGCCACGGGACGGCTCCTATGTCCAGCCAGCCGGGAGGGTTCATCACACTGGGGCAAATGTGCAAAGAGAGCCGAGCAAGATGCTGCCGGAACACTTCCAAGCCAGGCCCGAAGTTTGCCTACAGCCTTGGGAAGGGGCAGAGAATGCCAGGCCCCCAAACCATCCCGACCTCAGGCCTCACCAACCCTGCGCTGCCCGTCTGTCCGGTGAGGCCCCGCCCTCACCTCCACTAGGAGACCGTCCTCTCTTCCCAGGCCTCTTCTGTGCAGCAGCTGTCTTTAGAATCTTATACTGCTTTGCTTCCATTTTTTGTTTTCTTTGAACACAGAACCTTGTGCTGGCTAGACAGGCCCTCGACTATTTGAGCTGCATCTCCAGCCCTTTCTGCTTTAATCATTACGAATTTGGGCATTACTGGGGCTTGAACTCAGGGCCTTGCACTTGCTAGGTGAGTGCTCTATCACTGAGCCACACCTCCAGCCCTTCGGGGCTCTGGTTATTTTTGAGATAAGGTCCTGTTTTCTGCCGCGGCAGATTGCAATTCACCTGCTTTAGGCTTCTTGACTTAGAGGAACAGGTGCACGCCACCGTGCTCAGCTCTTGGCTGAGATGGGTCTTGTGAACTTTTCTGCCCAGGCTGGCCTCAAACTATTTTGTCAGTCTCAGTTTCTGGAGTAGCTAGGACTCTAGACCTTGGCCACTGGTATGAACTTTGGACATCTTTTAGGTAGGGTTCTCTTTTCTCTTGCTTGGATGGTTCAGGCTGTACACCCAGCTTTTTATTGGCTCGCTTTTATTGCTTATGTATAGCTTTTTGTCGTTATTGATTAGTCTCCTGAACTTTGCTCCCTGGGCTGAGCTTCAGCCATACTTCTACTGATCTCAGTCTCCTGAGTAGCTAAGATTATAGCAGCCATGAGCTACCAGGCCCTTCTTTGCCTCTTTTTCTTTTTTATTTGGGGGTGGGGTGGGGTGCTGATCCTGGGGTGGGCATTGCTCCTGAGCTCCTTTGCTCAGGGCTATATTGCTCTACCACTTGAGCCACAGCTCCACTTTTGGCTTCTTTTGGTGATCAGTTGGAGATAGGAGTCGCACAGACTTCCCTGGCCGAGCTGGCTTTGAACCGTGACCCTCGGATCTCAGCTTCCTGAGTAGCTAGGATGACAGGTGTGAGCCACTGGGACCTGGCTTGCCTCCCTACCTTGTCACCATGTGTGAGGTCTCCTTGGAGGAAACTGGTATAACAAACAGGACAAGTGCAGATCTATAAGACACATCTAAAGGGCTCTCATCTACTCCAGTCCCGGCAGCTGGCTCTGGGGCAGGCAGTACCTGCTGGTGTGGGCTGCTCTGAATTAATCACAACTAGTCTCCAACAGGAGACTGGGCCCTTGGCTTTGACTGCAGTGGGAGGATACTTTCCAAGGATCAAACCAGCCAAGGAGAGTACATTCCTGCCTCAGAGATCACAGAAGAGGCTCATTCATATTTTTTTTTTCTGTGCTAGTGGTAAAGGAGCTGGATCTCAGGGCTAGGATGCCCTCCCTTGAGCTTTTGCTCAAGGCTAGAGCTCTACCATTTGAGCCAAAGCTCCACTTCTGGTTTTTTTCTGGTTAATTGGAGATCAGAGTGTTATGGACTTTCTTGCCCAGGCTGGCTTTGAACTGTGATCCTCAGATCTCAGCCTCCTGAGTAGGTCAGATTACAGGTGTGAGTCACCAGCACCTGGCTCATGAATATTTTTTGATTACAAACTCTTTTAAGAAATGTCATGTGTGCACACATCAAATGTATGTTGCAGTGCTAGGTCTGGAAACCAGGGCCTCTGGAATGCCAGGCAAGCGCTCCCCACTGAGCTCCACCTCCAGCCCAACATCAACTTTATGCAGAATTTCAGGGTGTCTTAGCACGGGAGTACACTATGTTTTCAGGCAGGTGCCTCTCCTGGGCTTTCCCCTCCCTCCTTCTCAGCTGCACGCTGCATCTCTATCCCGCACCAAACAAAGCAGAAGAGCTGCTGCAGTGTTTTCTGGCACATGCATATCTAAGCCAGGTAGTCCTTAGCTAGTAGCTGCTCTGGAGGCCAAAGGGACTCAGGTCCACACCAGCAGGGTGTGTCTCCTCCGGGCCCAGCTGCAGCCTTTGCTCCTGAGTGTAAGGTCCTGTCCTGCCCCGCAGCCCTGCTTTCTAGATGGAAACTCCTCTCTCCCCAGGCCGTGGAGCCTGCTGCGGCTGCGGTGTGGCCGTCCTGTCTGGGGCCCAAGGTCTCTCCTCACCCAATCCAATAGACTTGGGTCTTTGGCTTTAAAGCAGCCTGCAGCCCGGTTCCACGCATTCCTTCTGGGGCATCTCTGCACAGTGAGCCCGCGTGGCATGCAAACCGCGAGCACGCCGCCGAGTCTCCCACTCCTCCCCTCCCGGCCTCCCCGCACATCAAGACAGGAAAATTCCACCGGTGGGGGACGTCTGGATACCCCTCATGAGCCTCGGTGGAGCCTGTTCACAGCCGATGAGTAAGGGGAGATGGAGGGGTGGGGAGAGCCATGGAGAGCAGGGGTTAGTCATGGCCACACTGCCCTCCCATGCCCACATGCCTTGTCAACGACAATCTCATCACAAGACTTCAAACCAGACAGACTCAAAAAAAACAAAACAAGACACACTCAGCAAGACACAAGGTAGAGAAGTTTGCTTCTAGTGGTTCCCTTGGAAAAGACCTTAGGGGTGTCTGTGTCGACCAGGCTTCCTAAGGACAGTATTCCTTGACTCCAGCAATACAAATGGCTGCCACAAGGGTGGCTCTGGCTCCATGCTCCTGCTCCCCTGTGGTGGGCGGGAGCTCACGGGCCCCAAGGCCCAATGTGGGCAGGGCCGCAGGAGTTTAGTAGCCTCTGGACGCCAGGCTCAACAGCTTCCCTCCGTTCCCAACCATTCCTTAGACAGTCTAAGGGATACTGTGCCTTGTAGGGGCTTGCCACATGTTCGTGACGTTCTCAGAAAGGGCTGTCGTGGGTCAGAGAAGGAAAGAACAACTGGGCTTCGGCTCCCCGTGGGACCTTGGAAGCTACAACCCCGTGAAGCAGTGGGGATGAGGTGGGAAGAGGTTACGTTACCTTCCTGGACACAGCAAGGGCAGAAGGAGAGAGGTCTACGCCGTGGAGTCCCGCCACTGGGCTCAACTTCAAAAAGGACCAAACAAGGAAGAGGAGGAGGAGGAAGAGGAGGAGGAAATGGAGAAAGACAAAAAAAGAAGAGGAAAAAGAGGAGGAGGACGTTGGAGGTGGAGAGGGAAAGGGAGAAAGTGAAATTAAATTAAAAAAAAAAAAAGCAGAGGACAAAAAGCATAAAACGTGAGAAAAGAACAGAGGGAAAGGAATAATACAAGAAATGGAGAAGCAGAAACAGGGGAAACAAAGTCTACAAATGAATCAAGTCCTTTTTTTTCAGCACAGAAACTGAACAAGAGCAAACCTAGGTGCCCGGCCGTGGGGGCTGACGGGGGTGCGTGGCCTCACAAAGGAGTGGGGTTTCCTCCTGGAGGCCCGGCCCTGCCCTTCGCGGTCGCCTTACGGGGAGAGCAGTAATGCTGGGCTGTCACCACACAGCGTCCACTGGGGTCTTGGTCTCAAAGCTCCTGTGGGTCTGCCCATCTCTATGGGATCCACACCACACACACGGCCACGGCCACGGCTGTGGCTAGATGTGGAGGTGGTAACATGGGGTCGCCAGCCAAATCAAACTCAAGTGCTACCCGTGGCCACTGTACCCACGGAAAGGCCTGCAGGGCTGTGATACCCCCGATGCTTTGCGTCCTGAGCCGGGCCAGCTTGGGGGGGGGGGAATGGCGGGGGGAATGGGCACACAGGCACTCCCGCAGACCCCATCACTAGCTCCCTTGTGCCCTGGGCAGCCAACCACCTGCTCTTCTTGCCCTTTCCTGTCTCGGAGGGGTCCAGAGCTATCCAGAGCTGTTACACTGTGGACTGCTGCCAGACCAAGAGGGGGAGCTGGAAGGAGGCAGGATGCAGAGACCTCTTCAGACCCCGGGGAGCCCTGCTGGCCACTCAAAGGAAGAGGGAGAGGAGCAGAGCAAGGGACCATCACAGAACCAGAGGAGCACACACGGGGGACAGTGAAGCCCAAGGAAGGACAGGTCTAGGGAACCATGGAGAAGGGCTGAGGGAGCGGCTCGAGTCAACAAGAGGGCCAAGCAGACAAACCACTGTTGGAGGGGCCACCCTGCATCACGGGGGAGCGAGGGTAAGGACCACTCTCCTTCCTTCAAGCTGTCCTGCACCGCGTGTTTGTGCATGCTGGCACCACCTCACAACCAGAGCCAGAGGCAGTATGTGAAGTGGTGATACCACCAGGCCTCCCAACAGACACAACGGTGACCAGCTGATGTCTGGAGACAGGGGAGAAGATTCTCTTTCCTTAAAGACAACACAAAATAGAACAAAACTCGCTCTGGCTTAGATCTACTCATCCTGGTTTGTTTTTGTTTTTGTCAGTGTGGGACTTGAACTCGGCCTGGGCGCTGTCCCTGAGCTCTTCAGCAGCTCAAGGTGAGCCATCTACCACTTGAGCCGAAGCACCACTCCCGGTTTTCTATTGGTTCATGGGCTTTCCTGCCCTCACTGGCTTTGAACCATGATCCCCAGATCTCAGCCTCCTGAGTAGCTAGGGTTATGGGTGTGAACCACTGGCACAGGGCTGTCAGCCTGTTTTGAAGCATAGAGTCTATGTTAAGGCTCAGAATGCCTAGATAAATCCCTTAACAATGTCAATTAACTGTCTAACACATGAGTAGGCTAGGTTGTGAAAAGAACTGCATACATATTCATCAGCAGGGGAGAATGACACTACACATGCACCACATCTCCAAAATCAAGTAGGTGACATATATTTAAAACATCCTTTGCTTTCTGATACCTCAGACTATAGCTTTAGCCACATTCCTTGTTCACTCTTTCTGAA